TTTTTTTTTTTGAGACGGGGTCTCACTGTATAGTTGAGACTGACCTGGAACTCACTGTGTAGCCCAGGCTGATCTCGTACTCACAGTGATCCTCCTGCCTCAGCCTCCCGAGTGCTGGGATTACAGGCATGAGCCACCATGCCCGGCAGAAATTGGACTTTCTTCAACCAAAAGAACTGAAGTACCTCTGTAAGTGAAACAAGATTGACTGTTAAACACTCTGTTATGCACTGAAAGGCAATCTAGGCTGAAGTGGTACAGGGCACAGAGTTGGGGAAAGTCTTTTAAACATTCTTTTTGAGCCATACTTGCCATCAAACCTAAACCCAAAGCAACTCTTATCAACTAGACCCAGGTGATCATCTACTAAGCTGTTACCAGCATGTGCCCCTTACATTATTCCCATCTGAGAAGACAGAAAATCCTGTTCAGCTGCACTGTCTCTCATCTTTGCATCCCCGGCACAGGAGACAGTAACTGCTTACAGTTAGACCAGAGAGAGGCCTTAAGACATGGGAAAAAGTGATTGATGATTTAGGAGTCGGTACTCTGGCCCTCGAAACACCTTTGAGCAACAAGGAGGTTTAGAAGGAACAGCCTAGGTTTAAACAAACCAACAAGAGTGAAAACTTAAAATAGCCACGCTTATATTTCTTTTCATAAAGTTTATCTTCTATAACCCTTTCTCAACATACGTGGACTTTCCAGTTTTGCCATTATCTTTTTTTCTATTTTGGTAGGGCAAAAACCTTATCATATAAAATTACTGATACCACAAACATATCTTTATACCTATAACCTTCTTCATATATCTTTTTATATCCTACTTACTGGTGTATTTCTGTAACAGCCTAATATCTTCTTGGATTTTCCCCAGTAAGCTTTTTTTTGGTGTCAGAGTGAGGTTATAGATGTTTACATTCCAGTTATGACTGCAGGACTACAGACCCCTAAGTGGCCTTGAGTAGCATCCTTATCTTAGCCCTATCAGAAAGCAATAGAAGAGCAAGTTAACCTTGGATTGTGGTTTAAGAACTGTATCAATGCACAAGACATGTTTCAAGCATATCCTTTAAATAAAAAAATACCAACTCAAATTGGAATCCAAAAGGAAATTTATCAATCAGCCAATTTGTCTCAATTGGCTCTTGTCAACTCCTCAAAGGTTTGTAGGAAGGCTGTTTCCTTCTCTGGATCTGTAGAGGAGTTAACTCCAACTCTGTTATCCATTTGGACTCAGTGCAGGCTGTGTACCATTTAAGAGTTTTTTCCCCCCATCAGCCTAAGAAATAGAAGTTATAACTTTTGTCTAAAAGCACCAGTTTGGCTGGGCATGGTGACACACGCCCTGTAACCGCAGCACTTCGGAGACTGAGGCAGGAGGATCACCACAAGTTCAAGGTCAGCCTGGACAACATAGTAAGTTCAAGGCCAACATGAACTACACAGTGAGATCCTACATGGATAAATAAACAAATAAATGTATAGTTTTCCTACATTCAGGCGAGGGGGGGTGAGCAACCTGGGAGTGGTAGAAGAAGAATTTGAGTGACAGGAAGAAAATGGGTTAACAGGGAGACAAAGAGTAACAGGCAAGATCTCCAGTACTTGGAAGCCACAAGGGCACAACATTTAGGGTGCAGGAAAAGATTATGTGACAAGGACATTTTATACTTTGGTTGCACAAACATAAACCATAATCCTGGCAGATGCGTGAGAGTTGTCTTGCAGAGAGTACAATGCTCTATACCCATGACTGAGCTATCCTTCCATGACAGTCTTTGAATTTATTTTAATTACCTGATCCATGTCTGCAAATTTATAACCAGACAATTAAGACAAGACAACAAGATATATAAGGTCTCTCTTTCCTTCTGGCTCAGCTTGCCAAGAAAGGGAATCATGACAGAGAAAGGCAATTCATTTTCTCTAGCACTTGCAGTGAGTTGAAGGAGCAGAATGTCTAATATGTCTTGGCAACAGAGAGCCAAGAGCTCCAAAATTAGAGATCACTCCTTTGCTAGTGGAAAAAAGCAAATCAGAAATGGAAACTGCGTGAAGACTGGACTAACATTACCTCCACTCGTGATAGAGGGGGATCAGCTCAGCTCACATCAGTGAAATCTGTCCCCCAAGACTTTGAGATGGGAGACTGTGCTAATTACCTTTAACTTGCCAATGGGGTCCTGATATTGTTCTAAGCAGAGGCATAAAGTGAAAGCAAACCTGGGAAAAATGTATACCTTACTTATTTCTTCTTGGAATCTGGGGACAAGTCCCAAATATGTTACCAGAACCCTGGGGTTGTGTCCCATGATGACAAAGAATGAGACAGGATGGAGGAAGTAGAATTCAGGCAAATTTATTTAGAAGTGCCAGGTGTGGTGGTGCACGCCTATAATCCCAGCACTCGGGAGGCTGAGGCAGGAGGATTACTGTGAGTTCCAGCCTGGTCTACATAGTGAGTTCCAGGTCAGTTTCAACTACACAGTGAGACCCTCTCTCAAAAGACCAAAACAAAAATTATTTAAAAGTTATAAAGGCAAGCTGGGCATGGTGGCGCACGCCTGTAATCCTAGCACTCGGGAAGCTGAAGCAGGAGGATCGCTGTGAGTTCAGAGACCAGCCTGGGCTTCACAGTGAGTTCCAGGTCTGTCTCAACTACATAGTGAGACCCTGTCGCAACCTCCCCCACCCCCCAAAAAAGTTATAAAGGCAAGAAAGTAAAAGGTATTAAGCAAAGTAAGTAACGATCCTGCTGGGCAGGAAGGGAGTTCTGAGTTAGGACACCCATGAACGCTCTTTATCTGGGGTTTGTTTGTTTTTGAGACAGGGTCTCCTTATGTAGTTCAGGTGGGTGTTGAATTTAGAATGTAGCACAGGATGGCCTGACTGTCTCACCTTCTGAGTGCTGGGATTGCAGGCATGAGCCATCACACAGGTATAACTAAGATTTTTATTTGTTTGCTTGCTTGTTTTTTTTTTTCTTTGTACCGGTTATGGAACATTTGTCAGGCAGGCCTCATACCTAAGATGCACTAAGCTACATCCCCAACCCTACCTAGGGATTTTTGAGGGATTTAGAAGCAGGTTTCAGCCATTGTGCAAGCAACATTATCTCTACCCTATAGAAGACTCTCTCTGTGTTTTCCTTTTTTTCTTCCTCTGCCCCTCTCTTTCCTTTTTTTTTTTTTTTTGTTTTTTGCTTTTTTTGTTTGTTTGTTTAATCTATGCAGTGTTCATCTAGTGTCCAGGTAAGGCTCATGTACTTCTGAGCCAGTGGCTTGCCTGATCACGTTTTGTGGAGGTCCCATATAGCTAAAGGATACCTGGCAAATGTTTTTGTAAGATCTCTGGAATCTTGTTTCGTTTTGTTTTGAAGCTAGGGTATTGCTATGTAATCCAGGCTGGGCTGGAACTTACTAAGGAGCCCAAGAGCTGGGATCACAGGCATGTACCACCACACCTGGCAAGATCTCTGGAATTTCAATTTCTGCCTCACTAATTCTTGTTACAAGCAGACAAACCTAAGTGGCTCTGCCTCTCTCATTTTTCTTCAGAAAGTCTATACCATCGCCTTGGGATCTTTTTCCTTCTCAGTACTAAGCACTGTGAGAAATTAATTTATTCTTATTTCCTTGTTGATATTCATGTGCCCTGGCAGATGAGTAGTGTTTACTGATTTACCCAGTTCTTATTATGTGACCAGCTTCATTTTTAGCTTTTTACATGTTACCCATTCGTTTAATTTTCACAACCCATAACCTAGGTATTATCAGGATTCCAATTTTATTTTTTAGTTTTTTGGTACTGGGGATTGAACTCAGGTACTTGTGCTTGTGAGGCAAGCAGCAGAATCACTGAGCTAAATCCCCAGCCCAGGATTCCAATTTTATAAAGTATCTGCATTGCCTGAATATGAACAATCACTGGCTTAGTGAGGGAGAACTAAAAGGATGTGAAGTAAAATGAGATTCTGGCTGCCTGGTGTGGCAAAGATGAAATTGTTTTATTTGCAAAAACATCTCACTTGCCAGCTCTGGAAAGAAACACCCTGGATTTAGTTATGTACAATCCACCAGCAGCTCCGTAGGGATGTAAGAAATGCACTCTCAGGTTGCATGCTTGACTCAGTGAATCTACATCTCGAGTTTAATGGGATTCCTTGGGTATTCTAAAAGTTTCAGAAGCACTAAGGAAGGTCATGTCAAATTTCCGTCTCAATTGTAAGTAAGAGCATACACCTCTCCCTGCCTCATTCCTACACTTCAAGGTCCAGGAAACCAATCACACAAGAGAAGAGTAGGGGAGCAGTGAAAACCTTTTCCTTCTGTTGTTGGCCTAGCAAACATAAAATCTTTCTGGTTTTACGGCATCAAACTTATTTATTTTTGATAGTGTCTCGCTAACGTTGAACTCATTGTGGAGTCCAGGCTGCCATATCTTCAGGTCTGTTTCCCAAATACTGGGATTGCAGACCTGAGCTACCACACCAGGCAGCCCCAATCTCACTTTACCCCACATCCTTTTAGTTCTCCCTAAGACATACACAGGCAGTGCAGGGATTTGGAAGAAACCCCACTCTCACTAGCAGCCTTGCCCGTAACAAGGCTTGCCTTTGCCCTTAAAAAAAATGGCGCCCGGGATCACGCGTTTCCGGCAGAGGAGCTGAATAGAATAAGAGAGGGCCAGAGACCGGAAGTTACCGCCTGTTGCCCCTCCTCCTACCTCTCCTAGTCCTGCCTCTCTCGGGACGATGAGGCCAGTTGGCTCCTGTGGCTGAGTTTCGGTTGCTGGGTGACAAGTCCGAGTTGGAAAAGTGTGAGTGCTCGCTGCCTCGGCCGCTGGCCGATTTGCGACTCTCGGGGTGACCTTCGAGCGACCGGGACGGAGGGCGGAGAGTTGTGCGCCGGACGCTCAGTGACGAGGTCTCCTAGTCCTGCCTCTCTCGGGACGATGAGGCCAGTTGGCTCCTGTGGCTGAGTTTCGGTTGCTGGGTGACAAGTCCGAGTTGGAAAAGTGTGAGTGCTCGCTGCCTCGGCCGCTGGCCGATTTGCGACTCTCGGGGTGACCTTCGAGCGACCGGGACGGAGGGCGGAGAGTTGTGCGCCGGACGCTCAGTGACGAGGGGCTAGCCCGCGCCCGCTTCCACAGGCAGCGCCTCCGCCGTCGCTTGTCACCCTCTGAGTGGGTCCTCTCCCGGCCACTGTGCTCCATTCCACGCGCGCACCGGAATTAGACGGGGGGTGATTGGCTTTGGCCTCCAGAGAGGAAAAAATAGTTCGTTTTAAACTTCATTCCTTGAAGTTTTGCGAACTTTGGCCCTGAGGCTTGCCTCATTTCTTGTGATGAAAGCTACTTCTTTCCAAGCGACAATACTGCATTGTGATTTTGGAATTTTATTTCCTCCCTGTAAGTATCCACCTCCACTTTTCTAGAGCTCCAGGTTGGGAAACTTCATAACTTGGATATTGTTGTGAACTTGGCTTCCTCTCCCTAATCCTGTTTCCTTGATGCACTTAAGAGTCACTTGCAGTTGGAGTGTAGCCATAATTAGTTTCATCTTCACCAAAGAGAAATAAAGATTTTGGTAAATAGATTTCGCCTATTAGTGAGATACCACTTGAAAGTAGGCCTTAGTTTCTGACGAAAACACTTTCCTGGAAAAACCATTGCCTAAAAATATTTTAGTAGTTTATTTTTATCGCAGTGGGGAGTTAAGGAGTGACGAGTTCTCTTAACTGTCTTTGTCATTCAGTTTAATTAGTACTTTTCTTACTCTTCTTTTTGGTGGGAGGGGGTACTGGGGAGTGAATGCATACTACCCAAGTGCGCTATGATTGAGCTGCATTTCCAGCCCTTTGAAAAATTTGTGTGTGGAACTAGCCTTGCTAAATTACTCAGGCTGAGCTTGAACTCCTAGGTTTAAGCAGCAGTCCTGCCTCAGGATCTGCTGTGCACCACCTTTAGGCTAATTACTGCTTTTCTAACTTTTGTTTTCTTTCCCAGAGGGATAATGGCAGAAACTACTTCTCCCCTGAAGCACTTTGTACTGGCTAAGAAGGCAATTACTACAATCTTTGGCCAGTTACTAGATTTTGTTACTGAAGGATCACATTTTGTTGAAGGTTTGTGCCTTTTGAATTCTCAAAATGATTATTGTTGAAAGTGTATAAAAGTGGGTTTTATCTGCATTAGGTATTGAACTCATAGCACATTGTTCTGTGTACTGTAAAAGATTCCATAATGAGTAAAGCCCATTTTTTGCCCTCTGGAGGAGGATTACATGGTACAATGATTAAGAAATAAGTACTTCCAAGCACTTTACTATATTAATGGCTGTTTCAGTTAACTTTTCTCATTGCTGAGACAAAATACGGGACACCCAGAATTAAAGAAGGAAAGGTTTATAGTAGCTCAGTTTGTAGAGATCTCTTGAGTCCATAGTTGGCTGGCTCCAAGGCAGGGTGGCATGGCAGAAGGCCTTTGCAGAGGAAACAGTTCATAGCATGGCAGCCAAAAGGCAGCAAAGCAGAGAAGTAAGGAAGCCGCAGTTGGCCACAGTAGCCCTTCTTCTGTCCCTTACGTTCTATCCAGGCTACACACCCTCAGGGTGGGCAGCACTCACACCCAGAGTGGGCCTTCCCATTATCCACACTCAGAACGATGCCAAACCAGTGAGACCCTGTCTTGGGAAAAAAAATTGGAAAGAAAAATTGTGTAAACTAGTTCAAATAAAGATGATGAAGAATATATTATCAGTATATATTAATTTGGAGATAACTGTTGACATTTCTTCTGAGATTCCGGTAAATTCATAGAGTCAAACTTTTCTTTCCTTAATTCTCTGACCTTCCCTTACCAGGTTTTGAGCGTCTCAGGGTTGCAACGCTTTCTGTATTTTTAGTACCCAATTCAACACATTTCAGGTTTTGTTGAATGAGATTTTAAAAGATTACTGGTATATAATTTGTTTTTTTGTGTATGTGCGTGCACGTGCTTGGGGCCGCACACAGTACTGGGGCCTTTGCTCAGAGCTACATCCCCACTCCCTTTTCATACTGAGTCCCTGTCTTCCTAGGTTGCTTAGGCTAGACTTAAAGTCACAACCCTCCTGTCTCAGCCTTCCAGAGTGCTAGGATTACAAGCATGCACCACCGTGTCCAACTTGGCATAGTATCTTTGTTTTTCTAATTTGGCAAGAAATTGATGTGGTACGGTGACTTTTTTTTTTTCCATTTTCTTAAACATTTTATTTACTGTGATAATGAAAGTGACTCTGTAGTCCTTTCTCTCCATACTATTATCTCCTGGCATCTCCTGGCTATGGTAAAATGTTATGTAGCTCCTTCTAAAAGTCGCTTGCCAGTTAAATGTTACTGGGTTCTGGGTTGCTCTCTCCTCCTTCTAAAGTTAGATTCCAGGCTCTCATCTTGAACAAAGAATTGAATGAAACAAGAAAAACAGTGGCAAAGTTTATTTGATGAAAGTAAAAGTGAAGAGGGAGAAAGAAACTAGCTCTGCAGAGCAAGCTTGGGCTAAGTAAAAGAGGAAAAAGCAAGATAAAAGTATGCCCTGCAGAAAGCAGGGTGGGTTATTATGAGAAAGCCTAGCCTATTTTTTCTGTCTTTTTTTGAGCCAGGATCTTGCAATGTAGTTTAGATCAGCCTTAAATACTATGTAGCCCAGGCGGGCCTGGAACATGTGGTTCCTCTTGCTTCAGCCTCTGGAGTGCTGGGATTACAGGTGTGTGCCATTACATCTGACACAATGACTTTTGAGAAGAATTTTTTTCTAGAAAAGTTGATAAGTGAAAATTAAGTTACATGTTACATTTTTCTGCATGTGGAGCCTGTTACAGATTGAGGATAGGCTAGGAATGAGTGAAAAGACAGTTTGAGAATCAAAATTCAATTTTATTTATTCTAGAACCTTAGAAAAAAATTTTCCAAAAAGAGACAACTTCAAAAAAAACTTTAAAAAAGTGAGTGACAAATCAAATTGGGTGGGGTAGCACATAGCACAGGCCTGTAATTCTAGAATTCTGGAAGGCTGAGGGCAGGAGGATCACAAATTAAAGTCCAGCCTGGGCAACTCAGCAAAATAGTGAGTTCCTGTCTCAAAAAATAAAAGGGGCTGGGAATGTGTAAAGGCCCTAGGTTCAAACTTCAGTAACTGTCCTCCCTCACCCCCATAAAAAGATAAAGCAAATTAAATCAGAAATATGGAAGAGCAAGAATAAAATGAAACCAAAGTGAGTGTAACCATTCTTTCTCTTAAGTTTAAATATATGAACAGTGGGTAAGTTTCTTTTTTTCTTCTTCTTTTTTTCCCCTTATCAAAGATCAAATTCAGGACCTTGTGCTTGCGAGGCAGGTTCGGTGCCACTGAGCTAAATCCCCGGCCCCTGGGTAATGTTTTAAAAGGCACTGTCTGTAATTAAGACATTTAAATAGCCAAATGAGGTCCGGGGATTTAGCTCAGTGGCACTGTGCCTGCTAAAACATAGCCAAATGAATCTGTGTCTTTACTTACAAAAGAGGTGATAAGAATGTAAGTGTCAGCTGGGGATTTATCTCAGGTGGCAGAGCGCCTGCCTGGCAAGCGTGAGGTCCTCAGTTCAATCTTCAGTACCAAAAAAAACAAGAATGGAATTGTTAGTGCTGAAAGAAAACAAAACTAAAAGGTTTTTCTACTTTTCAAACCCAGCCTTTATAGGTAATGTGTTACTAATTTTTCTGGACAGGGTTTTTAAGATCCATTGCAGTGAGGCATGTACCCCCATTCCCAAATACCTAGACTGCAAGTATTTTTAGATTTCATATGGCACATTATACAACAAAGATAAAATATATACAATCGTAGGTATTTCATTGTGTAATACACTATTTGTGTTACTTTTTCTAATACCATTTCAATTTTGCAGCAACATATAGGAATCCAGAACTTGATAGAATAACCACTGAAGATGATCTGCTGGAAATACAGGGGTATAAAAACAAGCTTTCTGTTATTGGTGAGGTGCTATCTCGGAGACACATGAAAGTTGCATTTTTTGGCAGGTAATCCTTCATTATTTCTTCCAAGGTTAGTTTCCAGAAAACAGCATTTTTTGGTAACATTGTCAACTTTTTCTGATGTTTCAGCAAATTATATTCCTCCCACAACTGTTTGTTTATACTTGTGATGAATGTTAAAGCTCTTAGCATGTAAGAGAATTTATTCATCTTAGCTTCTGCTATAAAATGAAACTTTAATATCAGAAATGTTTCTACCTTTTAGGCTCTTGACCAGTTATATGAATGGAAGTATAGATCAATAATGAGCATAATTTGTTACTTACTATAAATTTAAATTGATTATCAAGTATGCGTTCCCAAAGGATTTTGAGCTCCAATTTCTAGAGGGAGCGTAGGAAGCACCGTGTAACTGTCTAGAGTAATAGTATGGTCTCTTGTCACAGTTTAAAACATCCATTTAACAGTCAGTTATTGAGGTGGTGATGTAGTTCAGTGATAGCACTTGCTTGACTGATCCAGCACCACAAAGATAAAAATCATCTGTTTACTACTGTGTACTCTGCACTCTTAGACACTACTGTTACCAGGTTTAGGAGTGCTGTCGTCTCCTTCTGGGGGTGGTCTTTAGGTTTGTTCTGTCTTCAGCAAAGAACTGGTCAAGACAAGCACAAGTGGTAGCAAAGTTTTATTAAAGATAGGAAAAGAAAGAGGCTCTGCTGAATGAGTTTGGCTCGAGTAAAAGGAGGAAAAGACGTGAACAGCTACTTTTTTCCAACCAGCCTTGCCACACTCTCATCTCTTATCTCACTGGGATTAGCCCCATATTTGGTCTCTCAGATATGCTTTACATCAATAAAAATGTTATTATTTCCCTGCTGTACTGGAGATTGAATCCAGGCTACTCATATGGAGCTATATCCCCAGCCCCAGACTTTCTTATCATCATCATCATCATCATCATCATCATCATTATTATTTTTTGGTACCGGGTATCGAACTCAGGACCTTGTGCTCTCAAGGTAGGTGGCAGAACCACTGAGCTAGATCCCCGGTCCCCTTCTTATTATTTTTTATTTTGAGATAGGGTCTTTCTGGGCTTGACCTTGTGATCCTCCTGCCTCAGCCTCCCAGAGTACTGGGATTACAAGTGTGCACCACCACTCACAGCCAGAAGCATTTATTTACTAAACCTAAGCTACTTCCCATTTTAGGGCTTTCTTTTGGCACTTGAAATTTTCTGTCTCATTCTTTGGATCTCATTCTAAATGTTAGTACCTTATTAGCCTTCCCTGACCATTGTAAAGGGGTCCTTCTTAACTATTCATACTCTCTCTTCATTGTTTTTGGGACAAGGTCTTGTTGTATAGTCCAAGGTAGCCTTGAAATCAGCCCAAGCTGGCTTTGAACTCACGGCAGTCCTGTCCTGCTCAGCCTCTTCAGTGGTAAACCACCACAGCCGATTGTCCCCTAATTTATGATGGCTCAATTTGAAGTTTTTTGTAGTAATACACACTCAGCTGCAACCGTGTTTTGAAGTTTGGTCTTCGACTAGCAGTTTCCACTGAGCCATGTGATCACAGCCAATACTCTATAGCAGTGGTGGTGAACCTGTGGTACATGCGCCACAGCTGGCTGTTTGTATCATTGAATGCTCTAAAAGGTTCGCCATCACTGCTCTATAGTACACTTACTGTATTGCTCAACTATGATGTTGGGTAGGTTAGATGCAGTAAATGCACTTTCATAACATGGTATTTTCAGCTTACTGTGGGCTTATCAGAATGTAAGCCCATCATAAATTGAAGAGCATTTATATTTAGCTTTGGATGTTGCAATGGTCCAAAAGCTCATTCCTTGAAAAGATCTATAAATGGAAGGGGAAGAAGAGAGGGAGACCATGATGTGGATAGGTTGTTGAATTTAAAATATTAGGGAATATTGCTAAGAGTATAGAGAAGTTAGCGGGCATTATAGACATGTAAATTGTATCACAGTTAATATGCAGTGAGAGAGGAGAGGGATGGGCTTTTGGAGAAGTCACACAAAGAGTAAAGACATCGGAATTGTGGTTGGAGGTGAATCTGAAGAGGGCCAGGTCCCAGGATGAACAAGCAATAATCAAACCTACACTCCTCCCTAGAGATAAGCAGCAATTTGAGATTATACTGTAATTAGCACCACCCAATCTGTGCTGCCCAGATAGGCATCAGACACATAGCTGGAAGACTGGAACATCTGGATGCATACTCCGCATTCCAAAAATGTCTTCGTTCTTTTCCTATACTCTTGCTATGTGACCTGCTTCCCTATTGACTCAATATTAGCTGGGCGACTATATAGTAATCCTATAGGTTGATTGTAGTTTGACCCATGTTGTGATTTTGCTGTATAAATTACCTCTGACAGAGTCTTGGTCAGCCCCTTAACCCCTCCTGGAGATCCAAGAGCTATTCCTTTTCTCCTTGTTTCTGATAAAACTCCCCTAGCTTCCTTCTTTGGTTTATGACTTCATTCCTTAATGATGTGAGACCATGAACTGGACACATTTGGTATATAATAGGTTAGTAAGTATATTTTTTTTGTATCACAAAGACAAGATTGTTAAGGACCTTTTATGTCATGGCAAGGAATCTGCATTTTTTATATAATATCAACAGGATGATTTGGCTTTTTTTTTAAGGATTTGGTATTATAATTTATTTTATTTTTTTGGTACCGGGGATTGAACTCAGGTCCTTGCGCTTGCAAGACAGGCGGCAGAACCACTGAGCTAAATCCCCAGCCCTTGGTATTATAACCTTGGATACAGTGTGAAGGATAGATTGAAGGGCAAATAGGAGGTAGAAGGCAGTTGCAGTAATGTAGGCAAGACATTTTAAGAGCCTAGCTTGTGAGATTGGAGAGCCTTTGATCAGTCTTGAAGGGAGAGAGATAAAAGGTACATTGGGCTATATGGTGATTAATTACTTCAGGAAAATAAGAAAGTAAAAAATTACTTGGTTGGCTGAGTGCCCTTCATTGAGATGGGTTTGTGGAAAGAAGATAGAGTAATTTGGTTTTGAATAATTTTCATCTGTGGTACCTCGTAGGCATTCAAATGAAGTTATCCAGAGGTAGTTGTATATTTGGGATTGGAACTGTGGAGAATTTTAGGAAATTTAAGACTCACTAGTTTAAGTTGATTGAGACCACAGGAATTGATGAGATGAAGGGTAGAGCATGTAATTTAAAAGAAAAGAAAATGGCAGGATTGGGGAGAGGAAGAGGTACCATTCATGGAATAGTGATACCAGACACCTAAAAGAAAAATAGGAAAGACTGGAATATATTTGGTCTTTCCTTTTCTTTGTACAGAGTTCCTCAAACCTTTGGAATTTCTTGAGTGATAGGAATAGCTTTTGTTATTTAGATTATTTATTTAGTTACTGTTTTGAATCAGGGTCTCACTATGTACTTCAGGCTGACCTTGAACTCACTATATAACCCAGGTTGGCCTCTAACCCCTTCTGCCTCCTTAGCTTTTGTTATTATCTGTCCCTTTTTTTGTTGTTGTTTTTTGAGACAAGGTCTCACTATGTAATTGAGACCTGGAACTCATTATGTAGCCCACGCTGATCTCAAACTCACAGCGATCCTCCTGCCTCAGCCTCCTGAGTTCTGGAATTACAGGCACGCATCACCATTCCTGGCTCTTATGTATCCCTTTTTATTAAACCTGAGTTTCTGCTCCTGAGGTGACCTAGGGTGGGAACCTTAGGTAGTTCAAGGAGGGGGCCAGTCAGCAGAAAGACCGATCAGAGGATTATTGAGTTTTCAGCCCCATATACCAGTCTCCAGGAAGAGGGGGCAGGAGTTGAGTGGGGTAGGAGATAGTTGGGATCAAGTTTTCTTTTATTCACTTAACTTTTTTTTGAGATAGGGTCTTGTGTGTAGTTCAGGCTGGGTTTGAACTCATTACATAGCCCCGACTAGCCTCAATTTGTGGCCTCAGCCCTCTGAGCTGTGGAACTACAGCCATGTGCATCCCACCCAGCTCAGTATTAAGCTTTATTTTATTTTTTTGTTTTTTTCAAGACAGGGTCTCCTTATGTAGCTCATGCTGGCCTTGAACTCACTATGTAGCCCAGGCTGAACTCTGAAATTCTCCTGCCTCAGTCTTCCAAGTGGTGGGATTACAGGCTTGTGCCACCATGCTTGGCTCCAGGATTAAGCTTTATAGAGTCTCTTGAGCAACAAGGTTGATGGGTTTCTAGGTTGTAGAGCACATGTAAGCGCTGCAGGGGTAGCATATTCAGAGAGGGCACTGATACTTGACACACACAGCCCATCTCTTCTCCTACGGGAGAGTGATCAATCCTCCAACTTCCTAGAAAGGGACACTGAGAGAAAGAGGGACAATGGCGACTTGAGAAATTTCAAAGTGCATGGGAGCCGGGAGGGCAGTGCCTAAGAATGGGCAAAGATAAGGGAAGGAGATCCTGTGTTGATGAGGATCTTAGGTTGATGAGGGCAGTAAGGAAAGCATTCTTACAATAGGTTGGGACAAGGTAGCTGGCTAATAAAGAAGTTGTTCTTCCCCCAGCTGAAACTTTCTTTTATTATTACTCAGTTCTAGAAGAACCTGCTGTCTTCAGCTGATGTACTCTTGCCCTTGAGCATCACAGTATCATGGTACCATTGAGTCTTCAACTTGTGACCTGAGGCAAAACAGTTATGTTTCTGCTTGTCATAGCCGGCTCATGGGCAAGGTGACATTGGGCCTTAGACAGCTATAGTTGTACTTTAATTATGAAATGATTTTTCCTGTAAACTTATGTAGAATGGTTCCCGACATTCACCTGGCTTTATCTGTACCCTGGTAATAACCTTTTAATAAACCAGTAAACACAGGTGTTGCCTTCAGTTCTGTGAGTTGGCCTAGTAAATAGTGGACTCCCTGATTTACACTTGGTTGGTCAGTCAGAAGCACAGGTCATAATGTGACACTTTCAGTTGGCCTCCAAAGTGGGGGACAGTTTTGGGCAACTAAGTCCTTGTTCTGTAGTTTTTTTGTTTTTGTTTTTTAACAGCAAAACATTTATTAGTCCATTTTAGGCATACATAATGGTAACACTCATCATAGGGAGTTTGCGCCTGTACATGGTACATCCCGCCTCTTTTTTCTCCTCCTCCCTCCTTTAAGCCCCCTCCCCCTATGTACAAAAGCTTTGTTTCCATGTTTTCTTTTTCTTTTCACTTTTTTCTTGTCCCTTCTACCTTTCTCCCTCCCTCCTCCCTTGTTCCCTTGCCATTTGGGACATTTTCTTCCAGTTTCCCAGTATGTTCTGTCATTTCTGGCACTGTCTTCAGGTAGTTGGTGTCAGAAATTAATCGAATTCAGGGACCGACGGTTGGAGCTGTAGAATGGCTTGATGTCTGAGGATTGCCATGAGTTTGAGGTCACCTGGACTATATCACTGTTGAGATAATTAAGGTGAGATGGTTCCCTGGGGAGGAGGTTGGACATGATATCCAGAGCATAAGTGAAAGTATGACTCTTAGAAAGAAGTGAAGCATGAAGATAAGGATGCTAGTTTTGCAGTGAAGCCAAAGACTCTAAATAGCTTCTTTGGTTTGGGTTGATTGAAAGCAAGCTCCTGAAGAGGATATAAGGTGTATATAAGGTATTCTTGGGGTTTAGTGTCCTCAAAAATGTTCTGATTCTATGACTGGGTAACAAATTATGTAAAATTTAGCAAGTTACTTCTGTATCATGCTTACTAATTGTCAGTCAAGACTTCAGACAGAGTACAGAGGGGATGGGTGTCTTTTCTTTGCTTCATGACATCAGGAGCTTCATGAAGGTTGAGGGTGGCTCAGCAGCTGAGCCTAGGATTGGAATCATCTGAAATCTTCACTCTGGCATCTGGAGCTTCACTCACCTGTCTGGCACAACTGGAAGACCAGATCTGCCAACTGGAGCACCTGGCCAGACTTCTGTTTAGCTTAGCTTCCTTATAGCACAGCAGATTTGGGGTAATTGGATTGACTTCCTACACAGTGAGTGTCCAAGTGCATGTGATCCAGTAAACAGGGCAGAAGTGTTATTTCTAGTCTTTTCATGTCTACTCTTGGAAGTCACCTACCTAGTGTCACTTCTGACGTATTTGTTGAAGCAGCCAAAAACTAGCCCAGATTTAAGAAGATGGAATATGAATTTGTGATCGGAGGGATATCAGAATTTTGCCTGTAATTTCAAATTGTTACAAGAAGCAAGACAGAAAACTTAATGTAGGTTTATGGGAAAAGATGCAATTAGTTTTTTGGTACATTAATTTTGTAAATGTACATTGCTAATGTTTAAGTGAGATTGTCAGCCTTTTATAAAAAAAATGTAAGTTAATGAAATTTAAATGAATTGATATTTTGAAAAAGCTAGCCTGAAACTTAAAGAACAAATATTTTGTAGGCATAGCGACACATGCTTGTAATCCTGGCACTTGGGGAGGCTGAGGCAGAAGGATCCCTCGAATTTGGGGCCAGTTTGGGCTACATAATAAGCTGAAGGCCAGCCTGAACTACAAAGCGAGACCCTGTCACAAAAAAAAAAAAAAAAAAAAAAAACCAGAAAAAAGAATAATATTTTATTGTTACTTTTTTTATGAATCTGAATATTCTTCAGGACAAGCAGTGGAAAGAGCTCTGTTATCAATGCAATGTTATGGGATAAAGTTCTTCCTAGTGGGATTGGCCATACGACCAATTGCTTCCTGAGTGTCGCAGGAACTGATGGAGATAAAGCCTATCTTATAACAGAAGGATCGGATGAAAAAAAGAGTGTGAAGGTATGATATTAACTGTTTCAGCACAATGTACCTAAAACAGTGTCCTTGCAGTTTTAAGTTCTACTGCATAAGATGTCTGCATTGCTGGAGATGGAAGACTTGTTAATATTGCTTTTCATAACTAACTAAAGCCATCACAAACATTTTGAGTTTTTCTTCTCTCCCTGTTCTTTTTTCCCCCCTTTAGGGCTAAATTATTGGGAGAATAAAACTTGTCCTTAATCTTTCACAGTGTTGGATATTGAACAGTGTTTCACGTATGCTAGTAATCATGCTACAGCTGGGCTACACCCACTGCCCTATTCTAATCTTTAAATAAATGTAGAATTAACAGTTCTCTTAACCCTTCTGTTAAGGACAGTATTACTAACAAGTAGGGTTCCTATTTAATTTCAAATATGTTGTTTTGTTTTTTGAGACAGAGTCTCACTATTCAATTCAGGGTGGCCTTGCACTCACTTTGTAGCCCAGGCTGGTCTTAAATTTGTGGTAATATTCCTGCCTCAGCCTCCCAAACGCTGGGATTACAGGCATGCACCACCAAGACCTGCTTGTCTTTCTTTCTTTTTTTTTGTTTTTCAAACTTTGCTTTAAAAATGGACCCTGGAATCTATTGTTGATGTCTGTTTTTAGAGACACTTTTACCTGAGAAGTTACTAAACATCTTCATGAATAAATGTCATAGATTTATCAGATAAGGGCAAATGGCAGTTTCCTCCCTTCCATATTTTTGTGAACGGGTGTTGGAGATCCATCCAAGGGGCTTGTGCATGGTAGGCAAGGGCTCTACCACTGAGCTGTACCTCAATCCTTTGAAAAATTCCTAAATTCACTGCCACTAAATTTCTTCAGCTGACAAAAGAAATAAGCTAGAAAGAAATTATGCTATTTCATGTTAACTCTGAGGGGAAGAAGTTGGGAAGGCAGTGTTTCTCATCTCCATCCCCACCTTCTGGGGTGCTGGAGATAGAACCTAGGGCCTTGCACATGCTAGGCAGATAATCTACCGCTGAGTTACAACCCCGGCTTAATCACCCTCTCTTATACCTAATACTCTTCCCATAGACGCAGAAGTTCAGTACTGAAGAAGCTTTAGAGTTTGCTGCACTGTAGGTGAAATCATGGGTCTAGTTTTGTGAGTTTGCTTTTTTGACACACATCAGATGACACAGTCTGTCCTTGGACTGAACATACCCTTGAGATTAGTTATGGGAACAGATGAGATGATTATGAAAATATTCATATTTTTAACTCATATAGTTTAAAGAATCACTCTTTTGTAACTAAGATTTTTACCAAATCAAAATTCAAGCTGCCAGTGGCTTTAGAGAATCTCAAAAGGAAAATGTACTGTTTGATTTATTTTTGTTGTTTGTTTTTTTTGAGATAGAGTATCAGCTATGTAGTTCAGACTGGCCTTGAACTCACTATGTAACCTAGCCTGGCCTTGAACTCATGGTGATCCTCCTGCCTCAGCCTCCTGAGTGCTGGGATTACACAGGTATACACCACCACATCCAGTTCTGTGTGATATTTTTAAAACGTCATCTCATTTTTTCTGATCTGTGCCCTTCCAGTTCTTTTTCTCCACTGCTCTTTTCTCTCTCTCTCATACTGCCAAATTTAAATTTGTTTATCTCAAGTAAGTGGCCTGCTTTACAATATTAATAGACTTTGAGTCTTGTAACAGTCTACTTAGTGAAAGAGGCATGACAGTAATAGTGCCTCCTCACTGTTGGAAACACTTGTAATAACTCAATAAACAAGGGACTAGAGACTCACCACAGTTTTGTCAGATAGGTGTTTTTCTTTATCTTTATTTTATAGGTGAGGCACCACAGTTTTAGTATAGGTTTACAAATCTATCAAAATGTTTACTAAAGTAAGCAGACACTCCCTGCCCAAATAGCTAACGTTGTCACTGTAGAAATACTTCAGCTCTGATCAGGACTCCAGAGCACATTTGAAATAGACGTTTTCCTTTAAAATTTGATACAAAATCACAAAAGAATTATAGAAGTATGTGTACAGATCTTTTCTTGATTCATTTTATTTTATTTTAAACTCTTATATGTAAAACATACATGAAGTGTACTAATCACATTCATTTCATAAATGTGTCAGAAGTCATGTTGAGAAATTAAAATATTTTAGAAATTTAAATGGATAGAAAAGAGGCAAATTTATTTTAAGCAGGTTTGTGTATAACTTACTGCTGAAAAAAATCTTTTATTAAAAGGCAAATATGTATTGACCTTTTCTATTTCCTCTGCTTACTCCTATGGAGTTTTTTATTGAATCTATTTTTTTTCATTAAATCTATTTTCATTAAGACATTTCTTCTAGTACTGATGTTTCCCCCTTATTAAGCAATACACATTTGTTTCCAAAGACTTGGAAAATACAAATAAGCAAGGGGACCTCAGAGGCTCTCAAACCCATACTTTACAAATTCAGAATGAACTTCAGGAGTTCCATAGGGTTCTATTGCTAGAGCTGTATTGGTTGGTCAGGGTTGGTTTCCAAAGCTGATTATTTTTGTGGATGGTGTGAGTAAAGTGTTTTAAGAAAACTTTTTTTTTCCTACTTGATAATTTGTTAGGATTGCTCAGATGGTTTTATTTCAAACTGTTTAAAGTTTTACCTTTTCGCACATTTTGTAAAAATGGATGTTGTCCCAAATCTTGGTTTGAAATTTCATTACAAATACACGCTTTTTTGTTCTCTCTCTCTTTTTTTTTCCCCCTGCTTTAGACAGTTAATCAGCTGGCCCATGCCCTCCATATGGACAAAGACTTGAAAGCTGGTTGTCTTGTGCATGTGTTTTGGCCAAAGGCAAAATGTGCCCTCTTGAGAGATGACCTGGTTTTAGTAGACAGGTAAAATTACTTGTTAATGGTGTTTTTCTCTGGGTATTGGTTTATTTAATAGAACTGTGCTCTTTATTTTAGTGTATGGTACATAAAAATTGAAAACATCAACTACTTGTTCTCATTCAAAGTTGTTAAGGAACAGCTAAAATGTTGTTTTCTCTTTTTTCCTTCCTTCCCTCTCTCCCTCTTTTTTTTTTTTTTTTTGAGACAGAGTCTCACTATGTAGTTGAGACTGACCTGGAACTCACTATGTAGCCTACCTCTCTCTCTCTCTTTCTGCCCCTCCTGTAATGCTGGGAATTGAACCCACGTACTTTGCACTAAGCTGCATCCCTAGCCATTTTTTATTTTGAGAGAGGATCTTACTAAGTTGTCCAGGCTGGCCTCAAATTTGCAATTCTCCTGCCTTGGCCTCCAGAGTAGCTGGGATTATAGGTATATATCACTGCACCTGGCCTGATTTCTTTTGCAATAGTTGCATAGTTTTGATTCTGATATATGTATACACACACATGCACACACATATGCACGCACCCACGCACGTATATATTTTTACAGAATACATTTTTTTTTTTTGTGGTACAGGGGATCGAACTTGGAACCTATCACTTGTGAGGCAGGTGGCAGAATATATTTTTGAGACAGGGTCTTTCTATTGAAGTTCTAGCTAGTCTTGAACTCACAGCGATCCTGCTGCCTCAGTCTCCCAGATGTTGGGATTGTAGGCGTGCTCCCCCACCCCTGCATCCTTGTGATGTGTTTTTAAAATCATACTATTGTATGGTGCTTAATCAAGTGATTATACTTATCAGTTGAGTATCATCACTAGCTGAAAACTTACTAAGTGGTTTTCTAAAATTTGGTTGTGCTCTTATTTTCTTTAGTTAACATTTCAGTGTTCTGTGGAAACTTGTTTTGTTTTTACAGTACTGGAGATTGAAACTAGTGCCTTTGTACTGAATTATATCCCCAACCCTTTTAAATTTATTTTTATTTTTAATTTTTTAAACTTTTTTGTTGGTACTGGGGATTGAACTCAGGACCTTGTGCTTGCAAGGCAGGTGGCAGAATAAACTTTATTTTTTATTAGTACATATTTGTCATCCATATTAATCACACTCGTCATAGGCAGTTTGTTCCTTCTACTGTTAATTCTTTTTTTCCCATTTTCCTCCCTTTCAACCCTTGTGCCCCTCCCCATTTATGCAAGATTTGTCCATTTTTTTCCTTCCATTCTTTTTACCTTTTCCTTTCCTTTCCTTCCCCTGCCCCTTCCCTTGTTCACTTTCCCATTTGTACATGTTCTTCTTTTTTTAAAAATTCATTTTGTATTTATTTGTTTTGCTTTGCTTTGCTTTTTTGAGACAGGGTTTCCTTATATAGTTCAGGCTAGCCTTGAACTTGCAGTGATCTTCTTGCCTCAGTCTCCTGAATGTTTGGATTACAGGCATGTGCCAACATGCTTGGCTTACTTTTTATTTTGAGATAGAATCTTGCTAAGTCTAAATTGCTCAGGCCAAGATTGAACTTTTTATATTCCTGCTGCAGCTTCCCAGAGTGTTGATATTATAGGTACTGCCACCTTGCTTTTCTGGGAATGATTCTTTTTTTTGTACTGGAGATTGGACTCTCGCCCTTGCACTTTTGAGGCAGGTGGCGGAAACACTGAGCCAAACCCTTGGCCCCTGGAAATGTTTTGTTTTTGATGATGGGCTTTCCTTTCCATTGGAGAAGTGTTTCAAGTAACCATTAGGAATAATTCAGATGAGACAAGAGATAAAATACACTAAAGATTTAATAGTAGCTAATTTTTGTTTGTTTGTTTGTTTCTACAGCCAGACTAAATCCATAACTCCACCAGTCAAGGTAGATAGTGGACAAATCCTTCACTGCAGTTTTTATAATAGATGGTATAGATTCCAGAGAGTACTTTATTTTTCATTATGTGTGCTTAAAAGCACTTCTGTCTCTGAGCTATACAAGACATAGCTACTTGCACTCTCATTTTTGACTCTTAGCTTAGTTGGTTTTAGTTTTTAAGACTTATTTTTCAGCTTTTGAAGACATGAAGATTAAAAAGATTGAAATATTGCTTTCAAAATCACTGGGCTAGTGCCGGGCGTGGTGGGTCACGCCTGTAATCCCAGCACTGTGGAGGCTGAGGCAGGAGGATCGCTGTGAGTTCGAGACCAGTCTGAGCTACATAGTGAGTTCCAGGTCAGTCTCAACTACATAGTGAGACCCTGTCTCAAAAAAACCAAAAAAAAAAAATCACTGGGCTAGCTGGGCATGGTGGTGCACACCTGTAATCCCAGCACTCGAGAGGGTGAGGCAGGAGGATCGCTGTGAGTTCAAGACCAGCCTGGGCTACATAGTGAGTTCCATCCAGGTCAGTGTCAACTACATAGTGAGACCCTGTCTCAAAAATAAAGAAAAAAAAATAACTGGGCTAAAGTCTTTAAGGCATTATACAGATGACAAGTAGAAATTGTTTTTCAGGCTTCAAATAATACATAGACATTTAGGAAAAAAATTTATAACCTAAATTTTCTTTCTAAGAAATATCATATAATACTATTTTTATTTCACTTCCATTAGTCCAGGCACAGATGTCACAACAGAGCTGGATAGCTGGATTGATAAATTTTGCCTCGATGCAGATGTCTTCGTTTTGGTTGCAAACTCTGAATCAACACTAATGAACACGGTAGGATTTAATCATAAACTGTGTTCCGCTGGTAGGAAATTAAATGATGTCCATCTTAGTTAAGAAAACTAGAGAAATTTCAGTCATGGCTTAGAACCTCTAAAATCAGGGGCAGATGGGCAAATGAGAGCATTTGTGTTTCCATAGGATCACAAAGGCTATTTCTGGTCTTTTGTAGTGACCACTGGGATCCTACAGTAATCTAGGCCTTGTTGGCTTTACAATGGCACCTTGGTTCACTATCTTAATTCTTTCCGTGATTCTGGTCTCAAACCGAATCAAATTCAATGATTAGGTTCAGTATTCACCTTATGGGGAAATTTGATGTGGTTCTCAGCCTGTTTGCAACCAGACTTGTAGAAAGGATTAAGTTCCTGAACCGAGATGCCACTATAGCTTTGGATGAACCCTGATGAATGTAAGGTGACAAAGTACATGATGTTGATATTTGCTCTGAGTAGTTGCCAGTCTTAGAAGGGAATAGGTGCCAGAAGTTTTAGAATGTTTATATAAGTCTCTTTAATAAAGTATAAACCACTTCTGTTCCTATACCCTGCCACGTGCTGGGTAACACTTTTTATATTTTCAATTTTGTCAACCTTTTCTAGCTCTACCAATGCATACTCTAGGGTCCAGCCTACTTGCATGCACTCAAAGCTGCTGTCACAGTTTACCCAGAGTATCTAGAGCCAAATTCATTTCAAATGAACTTTTCATAGTTTAGATATCTAATATCCAAAAGTATGATTTTTTTTTTTAATTCTTACTAATCAGAAGCATGTAAAGGATTTAGTACCAGGACCTCTCTTTGTCATTGTGGGTCCCCCCACCCCCAGGTACCGGGGATCGAATTTGGAACCTTATGCTTGCACCAAGTGGCAGAACCAACTGAGCTAAAATCTCTGGCCCTGTCATTGTGTTTTTAATATTTGGATGGCTCAGTCTATATTACAAAGCCCAGGCTACTTTAATAACATTGATAATTGTTTATAACCTGGTAATATGAAAAAGTATTTATGTGATTAAAATATATATTCTAATTTTATTTATGATATTCTTCTGTGTGTATATGTGTGTGTACGTGTGTGCTAGGAATGAAACCCCATGCCTTGTGCATGCTGGGCGAATGCTTTGCCACTGAGCTACATATCTAGCCTTCCAAAGACCAGATTATGCTGGTCTTTACCTACAATTTGTCTACATCTGAACTTTCATAGGTCTTTCACCAACTCTGTTAATAGTACTTTTGGGTTTTCGTTGTTGTTGTTTTTTGAGACAGTGTCCCACTTTGTAGTTCAGGCTGGATTTGAACATATTAGCCCAGGCTGACCTCAAACTCACAGGTGCTGGGAGTGCAGACGTCCGTCACCATCCCCTACTAAACAGTACCTTTAGGCTCATCTTTATTATCATTTCTTTCTTCTTGGTGTTTTTCCTATTTTCAACTGGATGTAGTTTCTCTCTCTCTGAATTGTCCATGTTTATAGTATTTATAGATACCTTTATTATGTACAGATATATTATTACTAATTTACTTAGCTAACTCTTAAAAACAATTTGAGGTAGCTTTTTAAGAGCATGGTTTATTATATCCAGTATTTCCTTTTATGCCCTATACATGGTAGAGATTGATAAATACTATTTAAGTCAGATTTCAAAAAAGATTTGTGGCAGGAAAAGGTATAATCTTTATTTTTGTCTTCTTATATGTTGGTTTCCTCGTCTTTGAAAAGTTTAGTGCTCACAGGATGCTTTGTGAACTTTTGTTAGTGGATGTTACTACTGTTCAAACAGTGTAAAATTTTAAATTATAAATATAGATATATTTTAAATTATATTATAAATATAGATATAGGGGCCAGAGATTTAGATCAGTGTTACTGCACCTGCCTCATAAGCACAAGATCAGGAGTTTAATTCCTGGTACCAAAAAAAAAAAAAAAAAAAAAAAAAAAAAAAAAAAAAAAAAAGATATAAAATATCTTTAAAATGTGAATATCTTTTGGGGTTTTTGATATTTTTCAGGAGAAGCAGTTTTTTCACAAGGTGAACGAAAGACTTTCCAAACCTAATATTTTCATTCTGAATAATCGTTGGGATGCCTCTGCATCAGAGCCAGAATATATGGAAGATGTAAGTTATTCTTTTCTTTAAAATTTTGAAATATAATCATATCTATTTTCTGAGAAAAACTATACCTTAGAAAAGAGAAAAATCATAAGAAGCTTACTTAAGCTTACTTGTGAAGCGAATATGATTGTAAAATCCTCAAGTATGATTTTTTTTTTTTGTAGAATTCTTTTCTTTTTGTGAGACAGCATCTTGCTAGGTACCTCAGGCTGGACTCAGCTGTGACCTTCCTGCCTCAGCTTCCCAAATGTTGGTAAAACAGGTTTATGCCATCTGCCTGGCATGAAATAGGTTTGTGATAGTAACCAAAGTGGTGAACTACTTTGAGGGTAAATTGTCTTATAAAAGTGCTATTTAATCATTTCATAATTTTAAACTTCTTTTTTAACTTTTTGTTGATGTCTAATATACATAGTGGAAAAATGTATACATAAATCATAAACGTCCGGCTCAGTGGAGTTTACAAATGGAATACACATATGTCAGGATCAAGATAAAAAAACCCAGAAGATTCCCAGTAATCTGAATCCCCCCTTTGATCCCTTCCAATTTCTGTCTTCCTTCCCAAGCAAGAATAACTCCTTATCATGACTTCTAATATCATAGATTATTTCTTCAGTGGTTCAGCTTTAGGTGATGGAATCATAACTGCTTTTATGGCTGTCATCTTTTGCTTAACATTGTCTGTCATGTGATCCATCTTGGGCATAGTTGTAGTTTGTTCTTATTGGCATATGTTTTTATATCTGTAGGCTTTATATCATGTGACTACTATAATCATTCTGCTAATGATAGACATTTGTTAAGTTCCTATACAGTATTTAGCTATTGTGAATAATATTGTAGTGTACTTGCAGCATTTTTGTCGGATAGGCACATACACACCAGTGAGTCTCTATGGGGTTTTAAGTGATTGTGCTCCACAGAGATACTTGGCAGTGTCTGACGATACTTTTGGCTGTTAAAACTGGAATAGTGGGGTGCTGGCTCCAGTGGGTAGAACTGAGGATGCTGTTTCACATTCTGTAACTCAGTGCAGCCTCTTAAAGATTAGTGAACACAAGTTGTCACTAACACAGAGAGCAGTAGAACATGAATATAT